GAGTGTCCTCATGGGATAAAAGTCATGAATGCCATCTTAAATTCATGGGTTGCACAGAGATGGATATGAACCGTTAGACAAGAACATGTTTAAGAAACAAACATAATCGCTTAAACTATATCTGACTAAAATGTTACATATTTGCATATTTCTGAGGGAATGAAAGTCCCTTTGGGACAATAAATATATGTATATATATGGGCATGTTTCCAGGTCGACTTACAATGTATACCGCATCTTGCTTATGCATTCAGCAGTTGATGGACACTGAGCTGTTTCCAAAATTTGGCTATTGTAGATAGTGCTGTCTACAGGAGCATATTTTTTCTGTGAAAATAATTTTTCATTTCTCTGCAATAAATTCCCCAGAGTGCTACTGCTGAATTATGTGGTAATTGTGTGCAAAATATTTTTTTTTTTTACAAAACTGCTAAACTCTTTCCCAAGAATGATTGTAAGATTTTACCAAAACTGTGTGGAAATAGTTTTTTCAAAGCAGTTGTCTCAGGTCATGATCCCTGGGTCCTGAGATTGAGTCCCGCATTGGGCTCCCTGTTCTGGGGGAGCCTGCTTCTCTCTCCCTCTGCCTACCTCTGCCCCTACTTGCTTCCTCACTCTTTGTCAAAAAATAAAATCTTAAAAAAAAATCAGTTGACCATATATGCTAGGTTTATTTCTGGTCCCTCTAGTCTGTTCCATTGCCCTGTATGTCTGTCTTTATGCCAGTAATATCCTACAGACAGAACCAAACTTAAAATAGATTGACCTATGATGGGTCAAATTATGATTTTTGACTTTATGGTGGCAAAAGAATGATATGCATTTAGTAAAAAACATATTCTGAGTTTTGAATTTGGATCTAACAATATGTGGTATCATACTCTCATAATACCAGGCAGTGGTAGTGAACGCATCTCTCAGAAAGACGTATGATCACAAAAGCAAAACAACTGATGCACTTAAACTATTCAGTACCCATACAACCATTCTATTTTTACTTTTCACTTTCAGTACAGTATTTAATAAATTGCATAAGCTATTCAATACTTTATTATAATAGAAGATTTGTGTTAGATGATTTTGCTTAACTGTAGCCTGATGTAAATGTTCTAAGCATGTTTAAGGTAAGCCAGTCTAAGCTTTTATTTCAGTAGGTAGTTATATATATATCTTTGTTTTACAATATTTTCAAATTACAATCAGTTTATTGGGACATAAAAATCATAAATTCAGGAAGGACTGTATTTTGATAATTGTAACTTTGTTACAAGTTTTCAAATAAGGAGATGTAAGGCCTTCAATTATGTTCTACTTTTTCAAGATTTTCTCAACTATGGATAGTCCCTTGAGATTTTATTTGTTAATCTGGAGAAAGTCTTATGTGCAATTGAGAAAAATGTCTATTCTGTTGTGGGTAGAGTGTTCTCTATATGTCTGCTGGATATAATTGGTCTAAAATGTTGTTCAAGACTTCTTTTTTTTTTTTTAACTGATCTTCTGTCTGATTTCTCTGCAAGTTAGGCATAGTGGTGATGAACTCCCTTAGCTTTTGTTTGTATGGGAAAAATCTCTCTTTTATTTCTGAAGAATACATTTGCTAGATAGATTGCTCTTATTTGGCATTTTCTCTGCATCATGTTGAATATATCTTCCTGTTTGTTTCTATAAAGTTTTTGCTGAAAAATCCACCAATAGCCTGATAGGAACATATAGGAACAATAACAACAACAACAAAAAAAAAAACTGTAGAGCCAATGCAATCCAAACTTCCAACAGCATTATTCACAGAAATAGAGAAAGCAATCTCAAAATTTATATGAAACCACTAAAACTTTAAATATACAAACCAATCAAGACTGAAGAACAAAACTAAAGGTTTTGGATGTTGTTTCTTTCCAAGGATAACTGTGCATTATGGTAAATACTATTCATTCCCGATTATTATTCCTTTTAGGAAGAAATCCACACTGCAGGAAATTTTGTCCTGATTTCTAATAGGAGAGATTAGACTTACTTGGTATTTAACATTATAAATAAATAGAATTTTATAGGATGAATTATTTTGTCTGATTTCTTTGTTCAAAATTAGGTTTGTGATATCAATCCACAAAGACATGAAGATAGCTTAATTTAAAAAATACCAGAAAGAGATGCTAGCCTCATAAATAATATGAAATTGTGCATTTAAATGGCACAAGATAATCCCTTATGTATTGGTGATGATTTTATGGGCAAAATCAAACAGATTGATAACATACTGTGTTGTGTTGATAAAGAGTACAGAACCAGGAATTCTTGAATGTTACTGTGTGGAGATGATAGATGTACAACTTCTATTGAAATATTTATTAAAATTCAATATACACACCTTGATACAGAAATTGCACTGCTAGAGACTTACACTGTATATATATATATATATGTGTGGTAAATGATCCTGTACTAAATGCTATTCGTTACAACATTTTCCTACAATTTTGAAATTCTAAGACAAACCTAAATATCTATCGGAAATAAAACTGGTAGATAAATTTGATACATCCTTTTAATGTAACATTTTCAGCTGCTTACAAACAGCAACACAGCTCTTTTGGTATTGATATAGAGCAAACTGCAGGGTATGTTTTTAAACAAAAATGTAAAGGAGTAATACTATTGTTTGCAGTTATGTAACATTTTTGTTTGGCAAATAGCATGCATATAGCTGTGCTTTCCTAGAATATCTCTGGAATACAATCTAAACTAGTTACATGTTTGCCTCTGAGAAGGGAACTAGATGAATAACGAACAAAATGGGTTAAGAGAATTTGTTCATTTTGTATCTCTTATATTTTGAACAATGTGAATGTATTAATTACCTGTTTGTATCAAGATCATCTCATTATTTTTTAATGTAGAATCTTATACTCAATCAAAATCAATTTATTTGACTTTCTCTGATTTAATAGTTCTTGAATTCCAAAACAATACATTTATTTTTTGGATGTGTAATTTCCTAAGACCTTCGTGTTTTAACCTTGCTGAGGAAGGTTTGAAAACCCTTAATAAAGCATGCATAAAGGACTAATTTGAGTAAATACTCTAAGCTTTCCCCCTAGTAGCTGTTAAAGAATGAAAATATTACAACTTCTATGATAGTAATTATTTTAAGAAAGGGCCAGTGAACTCCTTTTCACAAATGTAAGGAAACTGTTTACTACAATCAGCAGTAAAAATAGTTGATGACTTGAGATGTCCGCATTTTACATCCAGTAAACTCTGTTGGAAATTCCTGCATCAGAAAATATATTTATTTTAGAAAGTCATCTCAGGCAAAATTTATCACAAATTTAAAACATGTATAATTATTTGAATGGACATACAATGCTTGTGGGAGACATATAGCTGTAAGATTATAAAGTTTTTGTAACTAAAACTAATGGAAATATTGCCAATGGACAATTGGAGAAAGGGAAGAAGTTGAAAGGGTAGTACAGACTGGGATGTATACATGAGTGAGACATGTAAAACTTGAAAAATTCTTCTTCTAAGATTCCTGAAACTTCTAGGAAGTGACCAAATACAATAAAATAATTATATGACACATTGTAACTGCACACAAAATTTTTTTCAGGTTTCTATGATTCATATTAATGTGCACAGAGTGTGCATTTCCAACACTAGCCTCACTTTGGCATAGAAAGTATTAAATGCATTTAAAACAGGAATGTACTTTTCCCCGCTCAGCCTAATGTCTTCCACAACAAACAAATCATTAAAATTTTGTGAAATTGGGCAATGATAATAAGGTATTGGATTTTAAATTTGGGGGCTAAGCTACAGTTCATAGAAAAAAAATGTTAGAAGTTTTAATTTCCCTCCAAATGTTCATGAATATCTCTGATGGGAAGTAGTAATTTCAAGTAGTAAAATTGTCAGTGAAAAACTCACCAGTGTTTTAAAATCTGTTATTATTTGAGTAGTACTTCTTTTTAAAGGATTCCATTAACCAACCTGCTCCTTCATGGTTTTCCTTCTGTATCTTGAAGCACTTTACTCTATAATGAATTCTGGTTATCCTCATCACCCCACTATCTTATAATTATCTTAAACATTTGGGTGTCCAAAGTTCAGGCTTTCAATTTCCTGAGAATCACTTCCACTCTCTTATTTAACACACTGTCTATGCACTACTCTGTGCAACATCTGCATTCCCAGCATAGACCTCTCACTTAAATTTCAAAATCATATATCACAATGGCCTATGTGAAACCCCATATATAGTTAAATGTTTAATATATTTGTTAAATTATACCTAAAACTGAATTCCAAATATGCCATATTAACATTAATATCAGCATCATTCTTACAATTTCTAGACCAAAAACCTTGGAGGCATCCTTGATTTGTCTCTCTCACACATCTTTGAAAGAAGTGTGGAATCTGGCCACTTTATACTAGCACCAATCCTGGCAATCTTCATCAAGCCACCACATCTCACCTAGATGAGTCTAACACATTCTGAGGTAGGCTCCTGTGTCCCCATATACTCCCTGAACCCTCCCCAAAAGAATACACACCATCTAATCTCAATAGAATGTACAGAGGGAGTCTCTAAACCAGGAAGCCTTCGCTTTTGTCACTCCTCTGCTCAAAACCCTCTAATAGCTTCACATTGCCCCCATAAAAAATCCAAGTTCTTAGACTTTTCTCATGTCCTACACGCTCTCACCATCATTGTCTCTCTGACCTACATCTCTTCCTCCTTATTCACTTTGCTCCAGCATCACAGGCCCTCTTGCTATTCCCTCAAGCATGCTAAATACACTCCTACCTCAGAGTCTGCAACAGCTGTGTCTACTGCTAGGATGCTCTCCCATCAGGTAATCCACAGGGCTTGCTCATTCAAGATACTGTGCAAAAGTCATTTCTCAAGGACTCTGTCTCTGACCATTCCATTTAAAAGAGTGAAATCTCTTCCTCTTGCTTTCATATACAAAAGTCCCTACGATATAGCTAACCTAAGAAACTCCCGATCGATACTCCATAGTATTTATCTTCTTCTAATGTGCCACGTAATTTACTTGGCATATTTGGTTTGTCCTCAGTCAGCCCCACCAGCACTATCATGCCTGCATTAGGATGGATTATCTAGGGCAGCCCAGGTGGCTCAGTGGTTTAGCACCACCTTCAGCCCAGACCTGATCGTGGAGACCCGGGATTGAGTCCCACATTGGCTCCCCACATGGAGCCTGCTTCTCCTTCTGCCTGTGTCTCTGCCTCTCTCTCTCTCTCATAAATAAATAAATAAAATATTTTTTTAAAAAAAAAGAATGTATTATCTATAAGAGGAGAATACTGTTGCATGTTTTATTCGTCAATGTAACTTCAATGGCTAGAATAGTGCCTGGCATATTGCAGGCAATCAATAAACAGCATGGTAATTAGCCCATGTCTCTCATACTGCCCATCATGTTACCTAGATTTAGTTAGATCATTTTCTTCATTTTATAAACTAGTTTCCTGGACATCAACCAACAAATCGATGGGATTTAATCGATGGCAGAGAGGACTGCCATAAATTATGTGCACTTGTGTGAAATAATAGCATAAAAGACACTAAGTGACCACATAAGATTACTATAGGATATATTGGAAAATGCTCTTTTTTTTAGTTCCTAAATGATACCAAATAAAGAGGTACAAGTTTCACTGACAGAGACATCTGGGTTTAGATACAACTTTTCTTTCCCTGTTATATTTTTACCATTTCCTGCAACCATACCAGTGAACATACCAGTATCACAGAACATACAAGAGAAGGATACAAAAACAAAATATCACTTTACTGTGTTTGCAAGGACCTTCCATTAAAGAACATGAGAATAAATAATGCTCTTTAGGTCTCTTTGAGGCCTGAGATTTGCATTTGATTGCCTATCTGAGAAGCGATATCAAGTGGAATTCAAGATATTCATTCCCTAAATCCCCTAAAATCCTTTCTTCTTCTTGACCTATAATCTACCAGGCAGTTCCTGAGGAGGAAAGGGAGTGAGAAAACTGTGAAATGAAACTTACACCCTATGAGATAGATGTGTGCCATCCAGCCATTGCCAGGGGTACTTAGCTCCTGCTTTAAATAATCCAATCCAATAATTGTATTTTATTTTTGATTGAATGAAGAGCTGTGGGAAAATTAGAATTATTAGTAATATTCATAGCAGCAATCAAGGATTCATGAATACTGGATATTTTTATCTTCAAATGCTGGTATGGTAAATGGAGGAGGCAAGCTACTTTCTCCATGGTGTAGAGAAGAAATGGAAATGGAAAGGACAAAATCACTCAACTGTTTATGACTGAATGAAAGATATCCAGAAAGGGTCATGATGGCCTTAAAAGAATCTCCACCTATGATAAACTAGATAGGTAAATATGATTCCTCTAAACCTAGAACTTCTCTCTCCCTCAAATAAAGTGAAAAAACAAGGTTCAATCTGGAGATATCTGCAATAATCTAAAGGACAGATATTTCTGTAAAACAATAAGAAAATTATCCAATAAGAAAAAATGGACAAAACATAAAATCATATTTCATATAAAATACGATTCATTCATATTTCAAATAAAGCATATTGCTAATAAATTTTGAAAGATTCTAAGAGAATCTTAGATCAGGAAAATGCAAATCAAAACCACAAGGATAGGGGATCCCTGGATGGCTCAGCGGTTTAGTGCCTGCCTTCTGCCCAGGATGTGTCTTGGAGTCCTGGGATCAAGTCCCACATCAGGCTCCTTGCATGGAGCCTGCTTCTCTCTCTGCCTATGTCTCTGTCTCTCTCTCTCTCTCTCTCTCTCTCTCTCTGTGTGTGTGTCTCTCATGAATAAATAAATAAAATCTTTTTTAAAAACCCACAAGGTTATATTTTACAACTAAAGCAATTATAGTGAAAGAGTTATGGAGAAAGGAGAAAAAAATGAGTGGGAAAAATCAGAGAGTGACAAAACATGAAAGACTCCTAATTCTGGGAAACAAACAAAGGGTAGTGGAAGGGGAGGTGGGCAGGGGGATGAGGTGACTGGGTGACGGGCACTGAAGGGAGAACTTGACAGGATGAGCACTGGATTATACTATATGTTGGAAAATCGAACTCCAATAAAAAATATACCCCAAAAAAGTGATTATTTAGTTCATCTGTTTTTTATAGGTAAAAGTGATTAATTTATATTACTATTTCAATAAGAATTTTATTTTATTTCTTTTTTAAAAACAGGCAGAGGGAGAAGCGGGCTTCCTTCAGGGAGCCTGACACAGGACTCAATCCCAGGTCTCCAGGATCAGGCCCTGGACTGCAGGCAGCACTAAACCGCTGAGCCACCCAGGCTGCCCATAAGAATTTTATAAACAAGAGAACCTAAAGGTTGGGTTTTTGGAGGGTAGTTTTTTTCTTGGTTGGTTTCTTTGCTTTTTTTGTTTGTTTGTTTTTTAAGTAAGCTCTACACTCAACATGGGGCTTAAACTCTCAACTCTTGAGATCAAGAGTCTCATGCTCCACTGACTAAGCCAGCAGGTACCCCCGAATGTTGTGGAGATTTTTTGTTTTTTGTTTTTTCCAAACATAGGGCTTTTAATTCATTCTTCATAAGATACTACTAGAAGTAGCATTGCTAGGACAAAATAGTGTAACTAAAATTCAGTGCCTAAATGGAATCTTTAGAGGGAAATCTACAGAATCAAATCAATTGACTTTATGGTCCTAAACTTTATAAGGAATGGCAAATGTGATTTAGATTGTCTATTCTAGAAAAGAGATGCTTCCTCTGACATTCTGGATTGTAAGTAAAATAAAGATCCATTAAAAAATCAATCCAGCTATATTCAATATCTATTTTTCATTCTTTTTCCTATGGCTATTCATGAAAGTACAATGTGAATTACCTCTTTAGATTGCTCACACCATTGAAGAAAGTTTTTCTTTGCCCTGTATTAACTCTGAGAAGTTAAATAGCGAACCATCTAATATATATTAAAATGTGAAGGTGTAACACACACAATAAAAAGACTGAAAATCAGTCCATGGCACACACAGCAGAGCAATTTCTCTTGTTCATTGTTTAAAACAATGAATCTTGGGGTGCCTAGGTGGCTCAGTCTGTTAAGCATCCAACTCTTGATTGCAGTTCAAGTCTTGGTCTCTGGCTTATGAGTTCAAGCCCCTTATGGGCTCTAGACTGATTGGATCCTACTTTAAAAATACATAAATAAATAAAATAGTGGTTTTTCTAGGTCTCTGTTACCCCTGTGTCTCCTCTCGAGAGAAATTTATATCAATTAACAAGTGCTTCAAAATAAAGTGGCCAAATAACATTGGAAGAAAGTTGAAACAATTATCCTAATAAAGACATAAGACTTCTTATAAAGCATTTACTTAAGTTGAATAAAGTAAACATACCTGCTCCTCTTTATTATCAATCTTAATAAGACTAGAATGTAGGCCTTGGCATGACTTCTGACTCCTCTCCCAAGTTTTCTCTTCTTTTGAAAAATAGTAACAGCTTTTCCCACAGCAGTACCAATTTCCTTGAAATGAATCATAGTCTTTATCTTGAAAACAAAAGCCACAATGGTTCTCAACCACAAGACCACTTAGAGACCTGCCCTTTCCACGTATTTCTTGCTTGCTGCAGACCAAATGTTCAAAAAAGTAGCATTTTCCCCACTTCCCAAAAGTCTAATGTTGGGAAGAGCTCTTTGGCCAAATTGTGGTACCAGGGACTGTCTCTGAACAGACTTCAGATCATTGTTATGATTACACTGAGAAATCTTGACTTCTCGAGGACAAATATACTGCAACAACGTGGAGTAGATATCCTCCTCACAGGAAGAAATCCACCAAAGTGAATACACAGATATGGTGTTAATTCCAAGGGATCTATTTTGGGGGAAAATTCATTCGTGAACATAAATTACTCAATCAAATCAACATGAGTTTGTGAAAGTCAAGAGTTCAATTAGCTATAATAAAGAAAATAGATTTGATTTTTTAAAAAAGTACCTGACAAAGTACAACAGAAAGTTTTAAAATTATATCTTGAAATGGGACAGAGGGGATAATTCTTTAAAAAGAATCCATCTGTAAACTATCACTGTAGGTATTCAGTACATACCTATGATAGGTGGTAAAATTGAGTGATCTTCAACTTCTACAAAGGAAACATTTTTTTCTTTTGTGTCCTTTATATCTTGCATTGTGTGTCCAGAACACCTCTGAAAAACTTAAATCCATATTATAAAGTTAAGGTCATGAATGCCTTTAATAGATCATATTATTATGCTCACTCTAATTCTAAATGGCATAGTGAATGTTGTTGACTAAATGAAATTACAATCAATGTTAATCTAAAATAGTTTGAAGTGTCACAGAATAAAACAGAATTTTACATAAAAATGTAACTTGCTATGTATTATTTTTAAGTATATAAAAGATACAAAACATATAAGCATATAAGTCAGAAAATATAAACTTGAAATAAAACATTAACTAGCTTCTATGCCATCTACTCTTCAAATAAATATTTTAAAGTTGGTGAAATTTTGTATTTAGTATTTATTTAGCATTTAGTATTCACATGTAAAGCCAAATACAGTGATTTGGCTCTCCTCTAGAATAAACTTATAATGGATTCATTGAATTTACATGGAGCAAGAGCTCAGATAGTTCCTTTTAATATGCAAAAGGAAAGTTAAAAATCTCTGAAACAGTAGTGTCTTGCCAAAGCTCACAAATAAATGTAAAAGCATGAAGTATACTGCTTTGTGTGTGAACATTAAAAGAAAAATGCTTTAATTTTGTTACACAACTGAGAAACATAATTTTCAATTCTACTACTGCTCACCATCATTCAACTAAATTCTATTGGATGTCTATTAGACAAAATTCAATAATATCAATTGCACAGTCTCTTAATTTACTCAACTGCAATAAATGCAATTACTGCTTCAATTCAGTCACCCATTCCAATGTTCATATGCTGGATCTGAATTAAGAAGACATATTAAGACCTCTAGTACCTAAATACTATCATTTCTGTGACTAACCAATTCCCTTGTCCTTTCGTTTCTGTCTATC